AAAAAAATATTATAAAAACCAGCTGTCAATTAACATATTGTTTTTAAGTTCAAAGAAAATAAACAGAAAAGTTACCAAAAAATAGGTAACTTTCTAAAGCTGAGACTTGAGTTTCCAGACTAAATTAAAAGACATACTAAGCCACAACATTATGAAATTTCAGAATATTGGAGATAGAAGATTCTAACGGCCTCCACAGTGGGGAAAAAAATTAGGTCATACAGAAAGACTTGTGAGTTAGAAAGATGGCAATCTCCTCCCCATGTGGTTCACTGTCTCTGAAAACCTACGAGTCAGTTCTGACGCCATGGCAATGACTTTGACCTTTTCTTTTTTTCTGACTTGAGGGAAAAGAGTGCTGGTAGCACAGTTAATGCATATTAATGCACACCAAAAGGTCTGTGGGACAAGGTGATTCAGACTGTTCCCACCAAGTTTATAGTCATAGAAACCCCATAGGACAGTTCTCCTCTGTCCTACATGGTCACTGTGAGTCAGCATCAACTCAGTGACAGTGGAAATGGTTTAAACGGAGGCAGGAAGGAAGAGAATGTTCTTAAGAAAATATAAGTCTCTATTCAGGGTAGTTTTGTTTTAAATCTTTAAAACTGAGAATTAATTAAATGAGAAGCCAGCATTTTATAATATGTATTATAAAAATTAGCTTTTAATGTTAAAAAAATTACTACTAAGAGTTCTTTCAGATAATAATAGTTATGTCATATTTATAAAATCAAAGAAAATTTTCCCACCTCCTTTTCTTGATGGTAGTATGAAAGCACGGGAAATCTGCCCTTGCTCCGGAACTTGGAACTCCCAACAATGATTGGTTTGCTTGCTATTTGAGGAACATAAAGTTCTCTGGGATAAGTTTCACAAATCTGTAAATAGCAAATAAAGTATGACTGTTCCACTTAAAGGTCAAAACCACAGGGGTGGAAATCATCTTTAAAAAAACTTTAAAATGTACTAAATGCAAAACCAAAATTTACATGGTAATGCACAAATAAATAACTACTACAAATAAATACAATCTATAAATAGTCTCTTATTATCTAGTACCAACTTGTCCACTCCATTACCTTGTATTCTCGGTTTGCATCAGACAACTGCCAATGTGAATTTGGCACTCCCATCCTCTTATATTCTTCAGCAAGTTCAATGAGTTGCCAACCTCGCAGGCGTTCTGAATCATTTTGCTTAGGGTTGTAAGAAAATGCATACAGATCTTCGTATTTTGCTATGGAATACAGAACAGACAAACAGTGAAATACAACTTTAAGGATATAAAAAAAAATACATTTCCAGGTCTAGCCTCATTTTTTCTTTAAAATCTTTAAAGAGATTTCTAAAACCTGAACATCTGCAAACCTAATGGTTTCTTGGCTCTCCAATGCAAATTATTAAAGGCACACACTCATATCACTAATAGGGTCAATCACTGAGATTCCACTCAGCATCAAAAGGTAACCCGCTAGCACACACCTTTCTGTGTTAAATTCTCTACTACAATATTTCCTCTTTTTAAAAATGAAATTTTAAAAACACAGACAGTTCTCACTTACCATCTCTTCCAAGTAAAATGTATAATGAATAATACTGTGATACAAAATAAAAATAGTGTAGAGAACATGAAACTACCTTATAGAGGGTGCTGGTCAAAATTGGAAATGGGTGCACAGAACACAAGAGAGTACTTATTTTAGAACACTGTTAGGTCCCTGAAGTCACAAAACTGCCTTTACCTGAAGATCAGGCCTTATATGGAATGACTGAATAATGTTACATGCTGTATACGTAAAAAGAGAAGAGTGAATAAAGACATGCCCTAGATCAACCACACAAAGCTACAATTCAGGTTTGCCTTAATAAAAAATTAAAAAAAGAAGAAAGTTCAGAAACATTCAGCAACTTGTCTGTTTTATTTCCTGAAGATAACTATGGAATTCAATTCAGGTTTTGGAAAGGAGGTCCCAGATTCCCAGAGCATAAGGAGTGATGGAGTCCTCCTTAGAGAGCCTGTTTCCCTCTCAACCTAAACTGTTGTCATCACGTCAGTGCTGACTTAAGGTGACCTCACGTGTCATGTCAGAGCAGTACTGTTCTCTACTGGGTTCTCAGTAGATGTTAGTCAGATGTAGATCATCAGGTCTTTGTTCTGAGGCACCTCAGATGGAGTGAAAAATCTTCCAACCTTTCGGATGGTTGCCAACCACATTAACTTTCTGCATCATCCAGAGAAATAGGATTCACTTCCTATTCCTTCTGCTCGTGCTCCATATGATCTACATTAATCAATGACATATATGAGCCCACTGCTATCAGTGTACCCTGGCCTTAGCTTTCCAGTCAGTAGTACTGATTAACTTTAAAGTTATTCCCTTTGGTAGTGGGATGCACCCTAAAAAAAAACAGTTCTGCTGCTGTCTATCCATAAGTTTGTTGTTGTGTACTGCTGAGTCAGAACTAACTCATAGCTGAACTTCTAGCGAGATTTCAGAGGCAGTTTAATCACACAGGAGGAGACTGCCCATCTTTCTCCCACAGAGCAGTTGGTGGATTCGAACCAAATGCCTTTGGAATTGCAGTGTTGCTCCTTAACACTAGGCCCCAGAGTTCTCCATCAACAAGTTTAGAAAACATTAATATAAATCAACTGTCTCATAAGTCTGTATTATAAGTATATGACATACTCTTTTCTATTAATCTTTTTTTTACACCACTCTTACAATTCAGATCAACAGCTTCTAGTTGTTGTAGGCCATATACTTCGGCAGAGTGCATAGGAACCAGACTAGGAGGGTAACTTAAAGCATAAAATAATAGCAACAAAACATTAAATGATAAATCTTGGATCACCCATTTCAAAATTGAACTCTATATATAAATATATATAAGTATATATATTCCTTGCTGTACATTTGCCCTACCCCACCCCACAATTCATCCTTGCTCCAGATTGTTCTCATAAATATAATGCATAATCATATATTCTTTTCAGACAATTTTTTAAAAACGGAATTTTTAAGCTTTGCTCTTGAAGAACAATACCTTGTTTTGACAGCTGGAGCAAAGAGTTGTAAATATCATGGCAATCCCTTTCTCTGGGAACAATGAAATGCACGATCCTGAAGTTCTTGCACTGAATCACAAGTGGGCATCCAGAAGTAGTCAGTGCAAGTTTCTCTACAGAGGCAATATGGTGGTGCAGTATCTACAATGTGAAAAGCACAGTCATGTTGCCATTAGGAAGAATACAAAATAGCTCACCATCATCCAATACACATAAATGTTAGCCATGGCTTCCTAAAATCAAGAAAGCTCAAATGGTATATATTATACACTCAAAATTTTAAAATGCCAGATTCTCCAAACCAAAAACACTCCCAAATCCCTCTAATTCCATCGGCCTTCACATCTCTAGTTGTAGCCTCCATATCGCTGCTGAATGTTCTAAATATTCTCTGCATATCCACTAATGACACCCATTTTTAATCCATTTCTATAACACAAGACAGTTATCTTTAAAAGCTAAATCAGTGATGTTATATCCTTATTCAAGGCTCTCTCCCCATCACTGACTACATTCTAGCTGCATAGCCTTATTTTAGATTCTTGAATGTGTCCAGCTCTTTAACACACGGAACCCATGTGGCTCCATGAACTGGGATGTTGTTATTCTACTTCTTCACCTAGGGGTATTTAGCCACATTTTAGGTCTTTGCTTAAAAATTCCAGTATCATCCAGAAGTATAGCCTGACGTTCTTTAATCCCTTTCCAAAGTAAATTAAACTCCACCCACTGCTGTCCAGTTGGTTCTGATGTACAGAAACCTTTCACTGGGTCTCTAAGTTTGTGAATCATCACTGGAACACACTGCCTACCTTCTTCCAACTGGGTGCCTAGTGAATTCAAACTGCTAAACTGACTTATTCAATCTGTGTACTAAGCACATAGTCTGAGAAGCTGGATTTCATGGAGAAGAATACAGTCTAAGGACTCAAGGAAGACACATCAACAACTCTCGACATACGGATGACATAACTCTGCTTCCTGACAATGAAGATAACTTAAATCATTCATTAATTAAAGTCAAAGACTACAGCCTTCAGTGTGGAGTCTACCTGAAGTGAATAAGACAAACAGTACCACAAGTGGATAAACATCATCAAGATAAACAGAAAAAACTGAAGTTGTCAACAATCAATGCTCAAAGAAGCATCAGACAAGAAATAAGTGATATATGCTGGGCAAGTGCCTGCCTGGCAAAGACTTCTTTAAAGTTTTAAAAAGCAGAGACAGCATGTTAATAATGAAGGTGTCCATGACCCTGCTATTGTGATTTTTTTCAACTACCTCATATGCATGCAAAAGCTACGGAAAAAAGTTCGACAGAAGAATTGACGTATTCATATTTTGGTATTGGTGAAGAATGTGGTATCAGTGATGTTATATCCTTATTCAAGGCTCTCTCCCCATCACTGACTACATTCTAGCTGCATAGCCTTATTTTAGATTCTTGAATGTGTCCAGCTCTTTAACACACGGAACCCATGTGGCTCCATGAACTGGGATGTTGTTATTCTACTTCTTCACCTAGGGGTATTTAGCCACATTTTAGGTCTTTGCTTAAAAATTCCAGTATCATCCAGAAGTATAGCCTGACGTTCTTTAATCCCTTTCCAAAGTAAGTTAAACTCCACCCACTGCTGTCCAGTTGGTTCTGATGTACAGAACACATCAGTGTTAGAAGATATACAATCAGAATCCCCTGAAGACTCAAGAATCAACTTGCTTACTTTGTACACATCAGTAAAAGCCAGTAATTAGAAAAGGACATCATGGCTGTAAACTAGAGGGTCAGCAAAACTGAGGGGACCCCTCAATGAGGTGTACTGACACAGCAGCTATAATAATACACAGCAAATTTTGCTCAAGATGATCATGGAGGACCATGTCACTTACCTGTTAGACATAGCTGATCTCCTTTAAAGCTTGCAGAAGTCCTAAGTGATCACAGATACCATATTCATTTCATTGCAGGATGGCTCTAAGAAGTTAAACACTTGTTGGAAGACACTAGTGCTATGTCATCCCTTTCCACTTCCCTGATTTTCTACAGGAGGCCCAAAATGCCAGAAGTGGAGCTCTGCCTGCCTCCTGAGCAGGTAGGGGAGGCAGAATACAGTGTCGTCAATACACAAAGTGATAGAGAACAAAAAAGCAAGTCAATGGAATGCAGCAGTCAATAAACAGTAAAGCACCTGGTAAACACTGAAGCTGTCAAGGATGTCACTCATGTCACTCTAATTGGATCCACAATTAAAGCTCATGGAAGCCTCAGGAAAGAAATCAAATAACACTATGCTACAAGAGACCACTTCTAAAGTGTTAGAAAGTAAAGATCTCATTGTTGAAGAAGAAGAAAAAAAGTCACTTTGAGGACTGAAGACCTACCTGACCTAAGATTTTTCAATTGCCTCACAGGCATGAGAAAGCTGGACAGTGGACCAAAAAGGCAAAAGACATGCTGCCTGTGAATGACAGTGTTGGAAAAAAATAATAAATGGACCACAGACTTCAGCCAAAATGTTCTTTATAAGCAAGGAAAGTGATACTTATTTCAAGTACTATGGACAGGAGGGATTAGTCCAGGAGAATATCATGCTTAGTCATGGAGGGTCAGTGAAAAAGAGGAAGCTCTTCAGTGAGACAGACTGACACAGTGGCTCCAACAATGGACTCACATAGCAGCAACAGTGTGAATGGTGCAGGACCAGGCAATTATTTCATTCTGTTGTACACAGGATCACTGGGTCAGAAAAACTCTATAGCATTCAACAACAATAATCCACATGGAAAATATAAACCTGAACACCAGACACTAAAATATTTCCCAGCTCAATTATAAAGTTGCAATGGACACATAGAAAGCAAAAGGTAAGTCAATGGATGAAAAGAGATGGAAATTTTTACAATCTTGATACAGGGAATTTTTTTTTTTTAAGTCACAAAAGAACACAAACCAAAAAAGAAAAGGATACTATCTGGCATTAAAATTTTAACCTTTATTTTAAAGATACATATACATGTAAAAGGCTAGCTACATACTAGGAGAAACTGTAAGACACAAAGCTGGCAAAGCATTAAAAACTAACAGCTCATAAAAAGACAATAAAAGAAAAAGCAAGCCAGAAAAAGAAATTCATTGGCACAAACACATGAAAAGGATCATGTCTTTCTAGTCAGTAAATTAAAATTATAAATGCACACTCACAAGACATGTAAAAAAAATGTTAGAGAGCAATATCAAGTGTTGCTAAGGATCTGAACCAGTATTTCAAGCTCTATTATATGGATATGAATTGGAAGCCTTCTTTCAGAGTGATGGCATTTAGTAAGGACAAAGGTGTCCTCACTTACCAGGACCTTATAATTTCACTCTGGGCAAATACACCTAAAGCCCTCTGGCACATAAACACAAGAAAACACAAAAAAGATTCTTTGTACAGGGAAAATGGACTGTTTGTACTAGAGGGGAAAATTAAAAGGCCTAACTGCAAAACAAGATAAAAACACTGTAGAATGTTATCTGATCTTTTAAAATGTACTTCCTTTTTAAATAAAAGAAATAGGCATCTTTTAACAATTTATGGAGCTAAAAAGGGTCTTTCTTGTATTCTACTGAAGAATTCCACACTCTCTATAGGGAGCCCTGGGTACCTAGACCTTAGTGAGTTGGGCCGCTAATTCAGAGGTGCACTTCACTGGTAGTTGTAATTCACCAGTGGCTCTAAAAGAGAGACAGATAGTCTGTTCCTGTGTGATTTATAACCTCCAAAAATGATCTGGAGGGTCTAAAATTATTCTTACTCCCTTTCCCCCTAAATATGTTAGAATGCTAAACCCTGTAATTGTGACTGTAACACAGCTGGCAAACAGGGTATACTATTAGAGCCGAGTTAATTCGCTCAAATATGTGTACCATAGGTTCTACATCTTATCCTTTCTAAGTGAGGATCACCAGGGAACTGAGGAACACAAAAACCTACCAACAAGGAAGGACTCAAAATAGCTACCACCTTAATTTGGATGTTAGCATCCAGAACTCTGTGTGTGTATGTGGCGGAACTAATTCCTTAAAGGCAGCCACTTGTGGCATTCAGTTATAGCAGCATTGTTGTTGTTGTTGTTGTTGTTGTTACGACATTCAGTGATAGCAGCATTACTGTTGTTGTTAACGACATTCGGTTATAGTAGCATTATTGTTGTTGCTACCACATTCAGTTATAGCAGCATTATTGTTGTTGTTATGGCATTCAGTTATAGCAGCGTTCTTGCTGTTGTTGTTATGTGCCGTCGAGTCATCTGCAACTCATAGAGACCCTACGTACAACAGCCCTAAACCCTGCTCTATCCTGTGCCAACCTTATTGTCACTGACACACCCACCCCCATTACCCCAGTCACTGAGTCAATCTATCTCATCTAGGGTCTTCCTCTCTTGTGCTGTCCCTCCAAATTCCCAGCATTAGGAAACAAAAAAAACAATGATTAAGCATTTTAAATAACATTTCAAGTCATTTATTACTATGCTGTTAAATAATAAAGGCTAGGTTCTCCTTACCCAAGTTTCTTTTTGATGATCATCTATAAATAATAGATGTGTGGCCGTAAGATATAATGTTCCTGTTAACGACTTGTTGCTGGTGCTGAATCGGTCAAGTACTTTCACTTGCTCAACCTAAGAAAAAGACCAAGAAATTATTTCTCCTGTTAAAAGCAGTATAAATCATTTCTCTTTTATTCTAGGACTTCCATGCACCAGTTTCAATTTTTTTCCTTTCCTCTTCTCAAATATATAAAAGCTTCTTAAACTGTTAAGTTTCACATATCTTCTTGGAGAATATGTAAACCAGGAAAAATCAAAACGAAACAGACATTATGGAGCTGCTGGTGGCCTGGTGGTTAAAAAGCTGGCTGCTACCCAAAAGGTACGTGGTACCAGCTGCATTGCAGGAGAAAGATGGGCAATCTCCTCCCATGGGATTTAATGCCCCTGAATACCTTCACGATCAGTCATACATCAGTTCTGACATGACCACACATAAAAACAACTTCGTTACAAATATAGCCAACAGATAAGAATATTGTAAAAAGGCTGCCCTCGGCCCTCTGCCTGGGGTGAGCCGTCACGGCCCTCTGTCTGGGGCGGGCTGCCCTCGGCCCCCGG